TCCTTCCATCGCCTCAGCCGCATGGAGCGGAGCGGAGCGGAGCGGGCGACCCGGCGCGGAGCGAGGACTCAGCCCAATGAGCCGAGCGCGGGCAGCGCTGCTCCGGGACTTTCTCCTCAATGAGCGGCGGAGGGCTGGCTTTTGAGATTGGCGCTTTGCTCTCTGGGGCCATCAGCAGGCCGCTCCGAGGAACGGCGGGAGGCGGGATTCATTCAGGACGGACTCCCGGCACTTCACAAGCCGCTCGTTCTTCAGAACGGGTTTATTTTAAGAGTTACCCTGCTGGGCCGCGACTCGGACAAACTGAAAATCCGGCCAGTCCTCAATGTGGTTGTTCAGAAGACTCCAGTAAGATCCATGGGGATTTGGGCAGATGTTTCTAGTTGACCTTGACTGATCTTGACAGGGTTGGATTTGGGTTGCCCGTGAATGGGGAATTCCCAGGGCTATAAGCCGGACCAGAAAGTAAAGTAAACACATCCCAGAAGAAAGCAATAGAAAGCCTACTTGGTACTGATGCCATGAAAGCAAAATGGCCCAATCTGTGGGGACTTTACTTTTCCTTTTCTTTCCTTCATCCCTGTCATGCACTCAGCAAAAGTGTTTTCTCAGAGCTTCAAGATGCAAGATGATTCTCTTCTTTGCTACTCAGCAGGCAAGCGTAGGCTGATAGCAGTGGTTTCTAAGGACACCAACAGGCTGAAATGTGTGCAAAAGAGACCTCCCTCCCATTATGAAATATTTTAAAGAACATCCTGCCATGCGTAAAATAGACTTTGCCTCCATTTTCAGTGAAAGCTTAAAAGTGTGACAGATCATGGTAATTAGGCTAGATGTTATGCAAGGCTTTTCATGGAGTTAGAGATGGCACCAGTGATGTAACTATTGTGAAAGCAGGGGAGTGTGCAGATACCAACCACTGACATTTGCATAGCAACTCCATCCAGAGGGAAAGGTAAGTATGTTACCATATTCCAAAAGGAAAAGAAAACCCTAGTAAAGTGACTTGAAACATCTTAAAAGAGAAGATATTTGTTATAGCATAAACTGTTTGGTTCCATTTAAAAAAAGAAAGAAAACCAAGCCATGTGGGGTGGGGGAGGTGTCCAAATCTGTCCAAACTCTTCTACAAAATATTATGCTATGGTAAATCTTAATCTTGACAGTGCTACTAGACACCTCCTTGTTTCTATTATCACCCATTACTCATTAAACAGCTAGTAAAGGCACAAAGTTTGCTTAAAAAAAAAAAAAGAACCCCAAGGTCGCAAGGCCTAAACATAGGAATGAAACATGCTAGGAAAAGTTTTAGCTGCTGAACTTCTGCCTGGGAGGCTCTGTAAGAGCAGATTACTAGAAACAGTAGCAGTCCAAGCAAATAATGCACAAAAACATGGAACAGCCAGCAATTTATTTCCGTCCTGATTCCAGAAGCACTGATGTTTTCAAATAATTACCATTTTCATAACTCCCTATGCAGGGTAATGTTATTTTGCTTTGATCCAGTGATTCTAAAGTAATTGATTAGCCACCAGCAATTTCACAGCAAGCCTCAATAAGGCCTGATAAGAGTTGATATGCGATTACACTTTCTGGTGTATATTGCTGTTCACAGAGTTACCTCTAAAGGCAGGGCTAACTCCAAAGATAGCAAGGTTAGGCAGCTATCAGAACCCCCACACCGACAGAAAACTGCCACCCTAATAGCGCTTCTGCTCCCATTTTGCACAAATGTTCCAAAACGTCAATTGCAGCCTGAACCAATTCTAAATCTGCATGCCCAAAAGTATAGTGACTGAGGACCAAATGAAAGTATAGTGACTAAGGGCCAAATCCTACAAGCTGTATTGCTTAAGGGCTCTTTTTCTTCACCTGCCATTTATTTTGCACATTACATTTTGCCTCTTTATAAATAGCAGTCCATCTGCCTCTCTTGTTAGGCAAGGGACTGGTTCTTCAGATTTCCTGCACCCACATACCAGTAACACGGTGCTCCTTGTTCTAAGCACTGTAGTGCCTTAATGGGGCTTTGCTTGGGACATGTACTTTTCTCTACCATGTTATAGCTACTCTACCATGTACTCACAGCACAGTCTACACAGTGCTTATGATAACGATAGATATCACAAAGGCAAACAGATTACAGATCAGTAATAATAAAAAAGGAAATAAGTCAGAGTACTCAATTGCTTTCTGGTAAAAGTTCAAAGGTGGAGAGGTGGAATCAGCAATTCTCCTTGATCCAGCTGGTTATGCTACTTTGGAATGCATTTTGAAGAGAGGATAAAGCTTGATCTCTCCTGAGCCTTAAGTCTAGGGCTGTAAGCTCTTCGAAAAACTCCTGAATGTTCTTGCTTTTCTTATTCAAACAATTGACTTCATGTTATTTATACCCTGAACATGGCATGATGTTCCACACCTCCTCCTCCTCCTCCTTCTTCTTCCTCTTCCTCCTCCCCCTCTTTTAAAATGTCATTGCTTTTTTAACACAGGAAACTCTCATCCCTTTTATCCTTTTTAAGCAGGAGTTGCCCATTGTTAAGGTGTTGCCTGTTTCATTTCAGTTTGTTTGTTTAAAGCCAGTGGAATCATGCTGCCCTTTCTTGCTTGGCAGAAACTGTGTACAGCCACAAACTTCCAGTGCATAATCAGAAAGTTGAATCATTGTTCAAGCTGTGGCCTAGGAGATGAAGAAGGCGTGTCTCCTTATTTTGCAATCAAGAAGGCTTTTCTGAAATTGAGCATTGGGCGAAACCAAATAAGTGTCGCAAACGATTATACAGCCTCTTTACCTATTTATGTATCAAGTAACAGAATAAAGGTCACAGACCTTAAAATGCCTCACCCCTTCGGCCCAGGGTTACTGTTGCACCTGGGCTCTTTGGCTATCTTTGGAATATGCTAACTGTCGTAAGTGAGGCAGGGGCCAACTGAGAACTGCAACTTAGGGACTTCCTGCTGATGGAGGCTTTTTCACGTCTTACCACCAGTGAGCAAACAAGCTACTCACAAGCTCTGTAGCGCTGCAACATCGCCCAGGAGAATAATGGCTTTGCTCTGATTGCCGATATACTGGTGCAGAACTAGGGGAAAAAGGCGAAGCTCTCAAATTGAAATGCCTTTTTAAATGTGGTTAAATTAACTGAATTAATTATAGTTAATGTACTACCCACATACATTAACTTCTAAAGTTATACTGAAATTATCAATTCCACGGTGATTGCATTTTAGCATACCAGACTAATAAAAGCATTGACAGCTCCATATGCTCCTTATGCAGGTCAATGCAGCATGCGTACCTGAAACTAGATGGGGCTAAGTTCTTTACATGTGAAGCTTCTTTGATACTTTTTTTCAGCCAGAAATGTTGAACTATATGCTCCTGTCTTCTCCAAGTAGCAGGTCAGCAAGGTGACAAATAACTTTTAATTCTTGGTAAAAATGCTCAGCAGTGGTGCAGTAGTTGACTTCAGCAGAGCTTGAAAAAGCTAAGCAGGGAGGGATCTGGGTAATACTGGGATGGGAATCTACCAGGAAACCCCAAAACTATGTTGGGAAGTTAAAAAGCATAGAAGGCAATGGTAATTATATTTCACCAAAAAGACTGCACGGACACTTTTGTGACATTACCAGGTGACAGGCTTTAACCTTTAATCTTATAACCTGAAAATTTGCAGTCATATATCAGAAGTCCTATGAAGGGAGTAAGTAAACATGCATAGAACTGGACTTGAGGTCATGCGGTATTCTGTTTAATTTCTCCTGCTACTTGCCTCATGCAAGAGGACCTGGCTACAGTAACTCATACCCTCATTACCACCCATTTAGATTACCCCGATGTATTTCAGAGCTTCCGTCGCCAGTGCTATGCTGTAAGATTGTGCATTATTTTTGTGCACTGAAACACTGATGGAGGTCTTACCAGTGTTCTTTTTGTCAGGTTCGGTCAGCACGAGGTTTCAGGGAAGCACGGGGCTTCAGGGAAGCTCGCAGCCAGACCACGCGGAATCCACCG